AAGTAGAAATCTCAGCAGTAAAATATCCAGATCAGCCAGTGTTTATGAGTGCAAAACAAATTACAGGTGCAATAAGCTGCAGCAGATTCAAGCATCCCAAAGGTTAATAAGATAACCAGTATAGTACCATCCAAGCATTAAAACGGTGCATAACATTCAGTGAGTAAATGTTGACTTCTGTGAAAACAAATATCTAGATTTATCCAGTGCTGTACAAAGGATGAATAAACCTTTTCTCTAGAACAGGGGAACAGTATATGAAAAATTTTCTAAATATTACTATCTAAGTACTTTGAAATATTTATATGGTCAGCATGCATTTCAAGCATTGTTTGTTTCCCCTTCTTTCCAGTACTTAAAGGCAGGGAGTGATAAACCTGCCTGTTTCTTCTGAGCATTTTTCCCTCAGAAACCCTATAGCAGCACTGGTATATGCTTTTGCCGAGACATTCCTTTCACATTTCATACCCTGTTTAAAAAGCTATAAGATTAGATGCTAAAGATACTATTTTAAAGTTAATAAGACTGTCGAAATCAACTCTGTAGTTGTTGACGTAAGCATAACAAACTAGGTAACCTGTTCCAGATCTCAGATCGTTGTTATTTAAGAAAATGAACAATTAAACCGTACTGATTCATTGCACAGTTTTTTAGTTACTAAGGAATCAGGATTTTGGCTTTACGATAACTATGTTTTGAATATATGAATGCATTATATGCTAACTAAGTCAAGAGAAGCAAATTTGTGTGTTACTTCTCAATAGTTTCTTATGTTTCAAAAAGAGAGCAACTTCAACTATTTATAAACTGTAATTAAGTTTCTTTACAACATGACTCATTCTCAACAAGCAAGTCCTTTTTCTTTTGCTTTCTTATGAACTGTGTGGGAAAATTAGGGTTCAATCAGCAAAGAATTTACTCAATGCTTAATTACCCAAAACAGCCCTCCAAGTTCTGCTCACGTAGAGCTTTCATAAAGACGTGATTTTCCCCACACCATGGATTTCTAAAACTTGACTTTTTAAAAATGATCTGTAAATTGTAACATAGGAGAAAGCAGCATTTTACTATGGTAGTGGCTTCTTTCTCCAGTCTGCTGCTTTGAGCTCCTCTTGTATTAACAGTGTGATGCTTAGGAAAGCCAAAGTAAGAAATCATGAGGATTAAATTACTTTGAGCAGGGAACTGAATTAGAAAGCTTTACTTTCCTGAATGAGCTAATTGTTTAAATTTTCCAAAGGAAATGTTTCTATTTCTGTGAGAGAAGGGGTAAATGGGACTTCCTCTGACATAATTTTCATTTTAAATCTGAGTTTGACAGCAAGATTTTTACCTTCATAACCAAATATTACTGCTTAACTGCATGACTTGTATAAGCTTGCTAGTTGAAGTGACTCACTTACGTAGATGAAGTTATTTTTAGAGAGATAATTTGCACTGTTTAGAAGAGAGGGAAAAAGGGAGAGAGAGTCCTACTAAGAGCTAGATCCCTCATTATAGTTTACAGAGCTCGTGAACCCAGCATCCAAGCAAAAGATGACTAAGCAAGGGGTCTATTGGTACTTTCAGGAATTTACAGACATGAGTCATCTGCTTATTTTCTGCAGACATATCACCAGGGTACTTTGTGAGTCAGCTGTTATTTGGAAATAGTACTTGTATTCAACATGAATACGTTTTTGTAGTTCTTGGGTAACTAGCATGCCAAACCAAAGCGGGCTTTTATAGTTTGCCTAGTTCAGGTGTTGATTTGCAAAAGCGGTGCGTTGTTTTTAACTGTGATGCATTTTTCATGACAAAGTGTAAATGTTGTCTGGGATGTAATTATGATAACAGCTACCTTTGCCACCTTACGTGTGGCATGAAGGCAGATCTGATTTTGTATTAATGCACAGATTGAGAGTCAGATTGCCTATACAACCAGGTAAAAAGAAAAACTTTCTTTATCAACCTGTGCGACTATGAGCAGAATTTGAGCTTTTATCTTCAAAGCACCTTACTAGCGTTGATTATCAATGGTACTTGCTTATTTTTCATGTACGATAAAACGCTTCACCCCAAATCCAAGCATTCTGTGCACTCACAGTGTCAATGGATGGGCATCCACTGCGACGGAAGTGAGTTCTTGCCTTCCCTTCCTACTGCTAAAATAATAGCTGGCTACCTTGAGATGTGTATAACACTTTACAACTCAAGGCTGTTTCCTGTTTACTGGTCTTTTAGGTGTGGTTGTGTTCCAGAATTAGGGACAGTTTTTTTTTTACTTGGTCTGGACTCATCTCACACCTTGTATTAAGGAAACACTTGGGTTAGAAAAATGGGAGTTTGGCGATTTTAGGTGAAGGTTAGAAATCAAAGCAGGTCAAATTTTTCAAAACTCTATTGGCAGTTCAGGATGATACTGCTGTTAGCCAGATGTGGGATGCACAATTTTAAATCTAATTTGATTATCTGATTTAACAGTTTATAATGTAAGTAATTCCTGAAAATTCCTATACAGGTTTTGGTTAATAAAAGAGCAAAATGTTTTCTGTCATATTTTGGTGATACCGGTGTTGGAAAAATATTTTTATAAAAGAAAGGCTTCTTGTAATGAACGGAAACGTCTCTGTAGTGATAGCAATGTCTTGATTATCCATTTAAACAGCATTTCTAGTGCTAGATACTTTCTCTTATGTGCAAACCTTTAGTTTTAGGTAACAGGAAGAAAACTGCTGCTTGCCCCTGTTATGTAGACAGAGGTTTTCAAAGGAAAGTTAATGAAAGTTAGAAATTTTCAAGTTAAGTAAAAAGTTAAGTATAAGGACTGAACTATTACTCGAGTGTTTTGCTAAAGTTTGTTATTCCTTTCACACAGTAATAAAATACACAAGCATACAGAGTAGTTTTCCTTTAAGGAGTTGGTACTTAAGAAGGAAAAAGATGCACTAGAGGAACAGAGTTTAAGCACTCAGAGCTGAAGAAGTACATTTATAACGTTGAAACGGAGAGCCTGTCTCCTTGCTTCATACTCTTTTCCATGGTGAAGCCCTTCAGAGGCTGTGGTGCACACACACCGTCTGCGAGGGGAGGAGACCGCTTGCTTGCTGATAAATGGCCTCAATACGCCAATGTTTTCCAGGGTTGTTGTTTAATAATCATGTTATAAAGAGGAATTTGATGGAGCAATCTAACCTTTGATTTGAATCTAACCTTTGTTACAGCAGTGATCTGCCCTCAAATTACCAGAACTCTGCCCGTGTCATTACCACTTAAATATCTGCTGGAAGCTGCTGTGTGAGCTGAGTCACCAGGACTCGGGGAGTTATCACGTGTAGCTCAGACACTGGGTCATGAACTGAGCAAACGCTGTTGTCCACAGTGCTTTCTTGTATTTTGAGACTACAGCTGGAATATCACATTCAGTTTTGTGTACTTCAAGGCTACAAATAGTTTTACTTGTAGAGTTTGGAGGGTAATTCCGGGAAAAGGGAGCTATGGTTTGGCTGATGCACATCCAAGTATTCAGACACGATTAGAAAAACTGAAAGATGAAGGGACTAGCAGGGTGATAGCATAGGATTTAGAAAAATAAAATCTGTCTTTCACTGATATCTCAGTCTATAAGCAGAGAATTCAAAGGCAGTGGTCCATGAAGTATTTAAAGTATATTGCGTTACCAAGCATACTGGAGGGGAGATCCTGTTCCACCTGAGGATGGGTTCAGTCCTGTAATGTTCCTTTCTCTTTCTTAAAATTCTGTTTGTAGTGATTTTGCCACCTGCTTTGGCTCCTACTTCAGTTTTTACAACCTGTTTATTAAGTTAGGAGTCTTTCTTTCTCTTTAGAAAGGACTGTGAAGTCACAGAGAATACTGAGAACCCAGGCTCCTATGAATGAATTATAATCTTACTAATTTATTTCACTCATTGCTACACCAATAGGAAAAATTATTTAAGAATTACGGGGAGTTGCTGTTCCATTGCAGTGTTCTTTCATGGTGCAGAATTAAAGAATTGTGATTTGGAGGATAACAAAAAGTACAGTTGTAGGTGCTTTATAAATGAAGTCTACACCTTTAAAAGAAATGCACATTCTTCTGTTAATTTTGGTATTAGATTAGACATTTAATGTAAATAATTCGTCTGTTGTCATAACTCAGTTTAACTACAGATTTCTGAAGCATCCTGAAATTAAAAGTAGACCAAGAAAATCTTAAATATAAATCTAGCAATGAAAAAGTTAAGTTAAAAAAAAACAGTTTCTGACCATATTATTAACTGTTGTAGACTATTTTATTGTTCTGCCAGACCTGGCTGATCATGAGACAGTGATAAGCAAAGGGAACTAAGAGGTTCTGATTTTTATTTTTAGCGAGATATTTTGGGTATTAATGACTCTGCAGTGTGTTTTTGGTTTTGTGGGGGTTTTTTTGTCTAACAGATGACGGCAAGTTGAGATCTTTTCCAACTCATGTGACTGAATCTTTCTGCATCCTTTATCAAATCATTTCCCCACTTTAAGTCTCAGACAGCTGTAAAATGAGAATGATAATGCTTTTGATGTCCGTGGGGGCACTACAATGAATTGGCTAAAGCAGATAAAGATAAATTTGTTTCTTGAATGGGAAGCATAAACAGAATGTATTTTGTGAATTTTTGAAAGGGAAAATTTCACTATAAAGGAAAATACCGCATTATTTTTTCTATAACAAAATAGTCATGGTGTCAATGTTGCAATTAACATAGAAATACACTAGCTAAACATTTTTTTAAATTATGTAATTTACAAAAATGTTTTGATAGAGCAAACTGTGCCACATAGCAATATATTGGAATCATTACTTATAAGAAATGCAGAAGTATATTTTAGAAGTAATCATCAATTTCTCCTGTCACCTTTAAATCAATAGAAAAGAACGATATATTCCCAGTAAAAAAAAAAAAAAAAAAAAGGAAAAAAAACTGCAATGTTGTTTTCTTTTTTCTTTTTTTTTTCTTCCTTTTTTTTTTTTATTTCAGTTGACCTGCCCCTCTACTTTCCTCGAGACCAACCAACCCTAACGTTTCAGTCCGTCTACCACTTCACTAACAGTGGCCAGCTGTACTCCCAGGCCCAGAAGAATTACCCTTACAGCCCCCGCTGGGATGGCAATGAAATGGCCAAGAGAGCAAAGTAAGTCAGATTGCTGTTTCCTACTAAATATTCCATTTGTTACACGGTCATCTGTTGGTAGAAATTTCATGGATTTAACTGTACATTTCCAGTGTTATAAAAGCTGAACCTGTTTTTGTTCTCATATAGTCCTAGCATTTCCCATATACGAATATAGACAGACACTTTATTAATTATGCTTATTACATTAGTGCCAGAGGACTGATCAAAAGAAGACTCTTTCTGCTAGGCATTGTACGGGCACAGAGTGGTGACAATCTCTGCGCCAAAGAGCTTCCAATCTAAGTAGACAAGATAGCCCCCAGCAGGAGTAATCTGCATGAGAGCAGATTAAAATCCGTGGTTTTGTGTTGGCGTCGGGGGGACCCTGAAGGGAAGCATGCGAGATGGGGAGAGCAAGGAAGAAAAACCTGAAAGATACAGAATAACGCGGTAATAAAAAGACACGGAAGAACAGGAGGAGGTAGAGCAAACCACCAGTCCGGCATAGGAGGCAGTCCTATCAGAACTTGAGAAAGTTTTCTGAAAGTCTGAATATCTCTTTCTTTACTGCTTTTTCTGTTGGCTAGAAACAAAGAATCTCTGACTCTTTCCTCTGCAGTTTTTGTGCAAGCTCTTGTTTCAGGCTGGGGAGACACCACTTCACTCCGAGTATCCCCTTTAGTTAAAGACGACAGGACAGCCTCCCCAGTGTGGTTCCGTTGCAAGGGCAAGCTGCCGTGGGCAGTGGTGCCCCTTTTGTATACTAGATATTATCCCTGTCTTCTAATGAAGCAAAACAGATTTCACCTGAATGGAGCAATATGGGCAACAGCCTTGCTGCAGTATTTCCATTTTGCAAAGTGTAAAAATGTTACAACAGCAAGAGATTTAAGCAGGCTGATTATCAGTTGTTCAGCACATAAAGGCATCAAACTGCATAAATAACGAGGCATATTGGGATGAACGTTTTGAATGACAATCAGAAGATTAAATTAAATTAGCAAAGATGCATAAATAACAGTCGAATGAAAATAGTTCAAGCTGAGTAAATCAAATGAATGGCATGGTCAGAGACTGATTGTAATTTGGAAATGATGGAAGCAAACAACAATTGACTGAAGCATTTGCAGATTTTATACTAATTTAAATTTTATGGAGAACATCAAGTAACATTTGATTTTGGATTTTGATGCATTGTAACAGAAATTTTTTTGTTAGTATTTGGTTTTACTACTGTACTGTCTAGGAGAGCCATTTCTGATCAAATATAATTATTTTTTTTTTTTGTGGACTTGTTTCTTTTCTCTAGCAGAATATTATGAGTATTTTGTTTAAAAAACAAAACAACACAATAACTGCAAGCATTACTGTGGCTTTTTTTACAACAAATTATGCGTTACAAAATGCATTTCTTTTGCAGCTGGAAGCTTACAAGTACCTATGTGCTGACTAAGTGCATTCATTTATGAGCAGGTGGACTTCTCTGCCCTGCACTTGAAATTTAGAAGTATTATAACAGTTCTTTTAAAAAGCACTAAATGTGTACACTTATTGTAACATGTACTTTTTGTGAGGTTATTCACTCTTATGAGAGTTTTGAGCCTTTGCATTTAAGTTTTAAATTAGGTACGTAATAAGAGAAAGATGATGAGAAGCGGGGGAAGAAAGTATGCTGCAATGTCTGAAATAACTATCATTGAGCTGCAAAGAGACAGAGAAGCTGCTCTAGTTAAAAGCCCTTTGCTTGCAGGAACAACTAGTGATTCCTGAGTAGGTACCATAAATAAATCAGTATCAAGAAAAGTATGATGTTATGATAGTCTTAGCATATTTTAAGAAAGATTTTTAACACAATTGAGCACCTTATGTAAACAGTGTTTAAAATATTTGCTAGGGCTTCTTAGAATAGGTTAGTGTGTTTCAACACAACCAAATAACTTTTCATTCTACTTTATTTGTACCGTAGCCACGTTATGGACCAAGTATATGGGACTATATGTAGATATATAGGAAAGTGTTCTAATTAAATATATTAGTTCAAGCACCACGTCAAACATCCCAAATAAAAACAGAAAAGAAGTATACGTGATTTAACCTCTAGAAACAATGTAATTCTGCTCAGCTGAAGTAAATTTAGCCCTGGATAAATCAGAGACAACTTGTTTGTGTTTCTAAATGCTGTCTATTAGGTTTTGCTTATATGTAGTCTTTTTCCGTCGTAGCCAAATAGTCTCCCAAGTGCTTGGCATCCTTTGAGACGAAACAGCTCTGTTTATCTTTCTGGCCCTACTGTTCTAGGGCCACAGGATCTCCCACTTGACATTCTGGTATCTGACCAAATACTCTGCCCTTATTCTCAGACACTTGAGGGATCAGTTTACATCATCTTCCTCTCTGTAGCTTAAGACACCATCAAGGACGGCTTTTGCTTGCTCTTGCACCAGCTGGGTTCATTAGCTGTCCAGTCATATATTGAGTGAAGCATGTATACCGCATTGCTTTGTAGGGTATAGAAGCACCACCAAGTTTGAAATACCATCACTCAGATTTCCTCATCCTCAATTTTGGCAAGCCTTGCCTCTGTTTTTAGCAACTCAACACAGCCTTCATATTCATGGGCAGAACTGTCATAAGTTCATGCCAAAGGGACTTTGATTCTGTGCCCAGCCTTCTCCTAGGGTTGGTTTTTGTTGGTGTTTTTTTTTTTTCAAACAGGTGAGCCCATCCAATTCCTTCAACTCGGGGGCTAAACTTGAAAGTCTTGGTATCCTTGCTTATCTTTGTGGCCTCCAGCAGAGGTAGGCATCTCTTTTGAAGTTAGGACTTAACCCTTCGCTGTAGCCTTGAGACAATCAGTAGTAATTATAAGTAAGAGCAAAATTACTCCCCTAAAATACATACATATAGAAGTAGATTGTATGCATTCATACTTAGACACATATCACCTAAATCTAAAAGGCAAATTCTCAAATCAGAGTATCAGTTTAGCAGGTTCTTTTTCATTCACAGAGAACAACTGCTCGTGTTCTTCCTGAAGTAATTGGACCAATTTATGCTTGTCTGATAAAGTCCACAAAATGGAGCTTCTCTTTCTCTGTGTCCTCTTAAGCAGTTTTTAAAATCACCTGGCTCCTTTGAGGCCCACTGACTTAGATTCCTTGCTGAGAGATAGCATCTGGTAACTGAAGCTTGCTATTCTCTTAGCCCAGGGATTGCCCTCTGGCTTGATTTAATTCTAAGGGACAAATCAAGTCCTGATTAAATGATGTGATTCCAAATGCCTCCAGATTGCTTGTTTCTCAACTAAACGCAAAATTTTAACCTGTTCCTCCAGCTAGAAACAGAGAAACCAAAAATAAAATTTTCTCACAAGCTGCCGAGATGCTCTTTCCTCTCAGTTCACATCTCAGGTTTTGCCTCTCTTAGGTCATTTATTTATATGTCTGTGGCCTCCTGTGTAAGCAGCTTCTCCAAAAGATTTGATCCTAAAATACAATAGCAAGCCTAAGAAAATACAGCAAATTATGGAAGTTAGCAGCCTTGTTTGTGGTGTACGTGTGAAGTAAAACATCTCTGTGCGGTTTCCATGGGAAAGCTCTTTTGTTTTTTGCTTAAATAGGCATTCAAGTGTACATAAATGGAGTCTTTAAAGAACATGCAGACTCTAAGCCTGGGATTTGATGAAGGAATACTATAAATAAAGCTTGTTTGTTTATACAAATTAAGTTCAGTTCTTAGATGCACTTGGCCCAATTTCTGTCCGACCCAGTGCTGCTCTGTAGATTTAGGTTATACTTCAGGGAGAGCAAGTCAGGACTCAGTTTACTCTCTTATCCTACGTAAATCCACCTACTTGTCATTAAAAATAGCAGGAGAATGGAAAACTGGTATCACAATAAAAAGTTGTTCCGAGGCTTCATATGCTTTTTTCAAGGTGGCTGATAAAACTGGTTTCTGAATAACATTGTTGTCCCTGGCCATTCACCGGTGTTTGCTGAATGTGGTGTTAATTTTACATATCCCTCAGGGCTCTGTAAGGGTGAAAGCTTAAAAGGGCTCAAGTGCTCTCAACTGTATATTGGCTGTTGCTCTGCCATAAGGTCAAGTGCAGCTTAAGATTATATGCAGACACACTTTGTGCGAGCTACGTATGTATCACTAGCACGGCTGCAGCTACGGTTCATGCTCAGCGCAAGCGTGCTATGATTAGAAAGTGTCAGGCTGGTGCACCAGGCCGTAGCATTTTCAGCCTCATCAATACCTTTTCCTTGAATATCTTAAAATTAGGAGATGTGTATCATGTGAAGATAATAGTTGCTATTCGGCTGAAATGGTTGCTTTAAGCTTTAATGTTCCCTAGTAAGGAGAGGAAATATATCTTTTGGTCTAATAAAAAGATATTTGAAAAAAGGGGACAATTTTTGTGTTGCTGTTTAGACAAACTCAGTTGTAATAGGTCAAAGACTTGCTGTTGTATTCGGTATATTTTGAGTGCCCTAGTGGTTATTTTTTTTTATATTGACATCAACCAGTTTTTCAACTCATCCTTTTTTTTTATTATCAAGTCAGAATTCTTTCACATTTTAGGCAGAATGTCTATTAGTACTTTTTGCATTCTTTTAAAGTAACAGGTTTCTCTATTTCCTTGAAACTTTTGTTTTCTACCTCTGCTACCTTGAATCTCACTATAAAGTTTACATGTAAACATTGCACCTTTTTTATAATCTTCTCTCCTTGATAGGTGCAATTAAGGTAATAAATCATTTGTTGTTATTCGGTTTGTATTTCAGTATTTTTCCTGCTTATTTGTAAAGGTAGCAAATTGTATTTTCATGTATTACATGATTTTCATGCATGTTGGGCATCTTTAAAGAGTAGATGTCCAAAGACGAACTTGCTTGCATTCACATATACTCTCCTCAGAAAGCTTTTTTCTTGACTGTCTGTCTCTGGCTCTGTTGCATGTTACCTTAAACTTAAGAAGAAATTTAGAAAAACGAGAGTAGGGTCAGAAGAAC